CTAGAACTGACTAGAACTGACTAGAATGAACTAGAACTGAACTAGAATTGACTAGAAGAGAACTAATACTAAATTAAAACTTAACTAGAACAGAAATAAGTAGATCATATTCATATTACTTATATTATCACTGGCCATAACTAAAACGACTTCTTCACGCGAAAAAAATGTTTGAAGTTTTCATAACATTTTACTATTTCCCAAATTCATTGGCTTTAAAAAATGTCATTGTTTTAATACGCTTGTCTCGTGATAATAATCTTAATGTACACATATCGTTATTAATAGAATCTGAATAACCTTATAAGTAATATTATACTTACAGTAGACATTAAATACAAAAGTACTTTAACTGTAAGTACAACAATATATCATCCGCACACAGTATGTAATTGAATAACGCGTATACGCCTATAACTGCTAAGTGGAAAAAATAGATTATTGATATTATAAGATCATAATAAATAGTAATCATAAAGCCAATTTGTTGTGATTGGTACACGCCTTAAAGACTGAAGCGATTTTAATGAAATTTGAAAATTTTCCAAATTATTAAACAGAATGGGACACAAAAGCTGAAAATGGGTAAAATATGTACTTTTGTATTGTTTTCAAAAAAATTAATATTGTATTGGTTGTTTGCAAAAAAAAAAATAAAAACAATTTAAAAAGCAAATTTGTTTTATAAACCTTTGATAAATTATTATGTTAGCGGACGAAAAATGTTTTTTTCTAAGCACTGTTTTCTTCGTTTTACTTAATAAAACCCAAGGGTTACAATATTTTGTACCTTTCGAAACCATTTGTTTAAAGAAGGGGATATTTTTGGTACATTTTGTATCATTATCTCTAATTCATATGAAATACCAGAATATGCACAGTATAAAGTTTTTATAAAAAAAACTATAAAAATAAAGAAATTTAAAGCAAATGCATTCAGTAGTAAAATCTGCACTTAGAAGTCAAATAAAAAGTAGTAAAATGTTAAAATTACTCTTAATTATAAACATTATAACAAAAACACAAGCATTGACTTATAATAAAATTGTTAATAATGGTTTTGAAACTAATAACATCGAGCAACAGTTTTTTGAAGAACTTCTGAAAAATTTGTATCAGAGAAAAGTCTTTAAAGGTGTTCTAATACTTAACGAAAATGACCAACATCAATATTGCAACAATTTCTTAAAATATTTTAAATTTCAAGAAATGCCAATGACATTAATAACAGCTAATACAACAGAACGATATCGGAATTATTTTAATAATCAAATTATCTGTATAGTTTGTATGACATCCTATCAATATAATATTTTGGATCAATTGGCTATGATCCTATATAATATGCGTTATACACGAATTATTATGTTAACGGATGAGCGGAGTAACCAAATGGATTTGAAAGTATTAAATGATTTCTTTCATTATAGTTATAAATTGAAAATGTTAAACGTTGTAGTATTTTTTAAAGATTTCTACAAATATGTACAATTTACAATATTTCCTAAATTTGAATTGGAATTTGGTTTATATGGAGTTAACACAAGTAATACCGACAACATATTACCAGATCGTTTGCGTGACTTAAACGGTTATAAATTGCGTACATTAGCAGATCACTATGAGCCAAGATCCATGGAATATTATAATGAAAAGAATGAAACTGTAGTCAATGGTTATATGGCACGTTATATACAAACTATAAGTGAAGCATTAAATGCTTCGCTCTACTTTCCTTTGCCGATACCGCATGATAAACCCATACATCATCGTGAGGTAATAAAATATACGGTTAATTCCTCCCTTGATATACCCATTAGCATCATAGCTCTATATGAGACCGACGACCTGCTTGAATTTTCATATCCCGTTGAATTGATTCAGTGGTGCCTGATGCTGCCCATAGAAAAACCCTTAGAGTTCAAGGAACTATTTTTATTGATATTATATTCCCAAATAACTTTTATCACCATTATATTTTTTATCCTATTCACTATAGTTTTTTGTTTGGCTTCATGTAAAAAATGGTACAATCAATGGCATAATAGATGGCCTGAAATTATAATAAACGATATGGCCATACGTGGAGTATTAGGTCAATCGTTTGTAGAGTCCAATAACAGAAAATTGTCACTTAATCTTATTAATACAATGTTAATGCTATGCGGTTTAACTATTTCCACAGTTTTTGGTTGTTACCTGCTAACATTTTGCACACAGCCACCTTTGGAGCCTGAAATTAAAACCTACCAAGATCTGGCCAAATCACCTTTAAAAGTGGGCATTTATTTGCAGGAATTTTTACTTATTCATAATATGACAAATGGTTCATTAGCTTATTTGTATGATAATTTTGTGGTATTAACTGAATTTGCCGATTTTACACATTTACGTGATACCTTTGATCGTCGTTATACTTATTACACTACCTCCTCAAAACTATATTATTACCAGGGTTTAGAATCTTATTATAATACGAAAATTTATCGATATGATACCGGTATGTGTGCCAGTACAATGATGCAGCTGTATTTATCTCTGGGTCCGAATTCATACTTTCTACAGCGGATTGACGAAATTATAATGAATATAATGCAGTCTGGTCTTATGAATTATTGGATAAGTTGTTCTTATCGTGATGTGGTTGATTCTGGAAAGGCGATACGTTTGAATATATCTTATAGGTCTGAGGATAATCCATTACATGTA